TTGTACCAATCTTTCGTGCACACTAACTACTTAGCTAGCGATTAGCATGAAAGTGTTTAGGTGCAGTTGGATCATTCATTTTACCTTTCAAAAAAAAAAATGCACATTTTTATACGTTTGTATATAATGTTGAATGCAGGAGTGGAGAAACCATGTACGGTAATATGTAGAACTCCGCATTGGAATGTACCGGACTACTTCCCTTGGGGATTTCCTCTTGCATACTTGTATTTGAATCGCTTTTCTGAACTCTTGGTTCATAAGCCTGGAGAAGGCCTTCTACTTAGCCTCATAGCCTCACTACTTTTACCATTGGTACCACTTTTTCCCTTTTATTTTGACTAAAATCATATTTATTTCTCGTAAAACATCTATTCTCTTCATCTTATTTTTACGGAACTATATGTATTTTTGTCAAGCATTTTTTAAAATTGTTGCCCTGACCTAGTTTTAGGGATTGAAACAGATATTTACTAAAAAAAAAAAAAAAATTAATAATTTACAAACTATTACTCCGTACTTAATGATAACTAACATTAATAATTGTTCAAAAATAACAGAGATGGTCGATTAGCAAATTTGTGGAAAGTGACATAAAGAAGAAGCATCGACTTGAGAAATTCGACATGGTACCGGATCATAGCTTCTTACAAGAGATGAACTCGTGTTTGATTTCGACCGTGCCTGAAGGATTTTATGATAATGCTGAGAAAGGAAGCATTTTATTGAAAAGATCTCAAACTTGATAATAATGCTAAAACAAAGGAACCTATTAAGAGTGATTTGGTTATTCTTGCTACTGGATACAAGGGTGATCAAAAACTCAAAGACATTTTTTCGTCTCCCAAATTTCAGGATTATATTATTGGCTCTTCCAACAAAACTGTTCCATTATACAGGTTCGTATCTCAATTTTTTTTTTTTTTTTTTGACAGTACATTTTACGTCATACATATCTCGACACCTGTAAGTTGCTAACCATGTATATGTATAAACGTGTCATTTTATGTTTTTCTTAAAGAAAACATACTCCCTCCGTCCTATAGTATAGTTCCTGTTTTCCTATTTTAGAGACCTAAAATGTTGTTTCTATTTCTACATTTGGATAGTATATAAAGACTATTGTACCCTCATTTTTTTAACTTTATTCATTGAACTTCCTAATTTACTCTTAAATTATCCACTTGCATTGTACTCTTTTTCACATTCTTTCTTTAATTTTTTCTATAATTGTATTTTTCAATTTTTTTTCCCCTTAAATTATTCACTTGCCTTGTACTTTTGTCTAATTTTTGTTTAGCTTTTTTCCACTTTTAATGTATTTTTTCCACTTCTCCTCCCATTTCTTAAATATTGTGAAAAAAATACAATAGAAATTATATTATAGGACAGTGGGAGTACAATTTATATATCTTTAACTTACACGAGTTAATAATATGGTTTTTATACAGGGAATGTATCCATCCACGAATTCCACAACTTGCAGTGATTGGTTTTTCGGAGAGCATTGCAAACTTGTACACTTCAGAGTTGAGATGTAAATGGCTATTTGAACTACTTGATAGCAAATTCAAACTACCAAACATTCAAAAGATGGAAAAAGATGTGTTAGAATGGGACAAGTTCAAGAAGAGATCCTCAGGCAAATACTACAGAAGATCATGCATTGGAGCATTGCATATTTGGTACAATGATCAACTTTGCAAGGATATGGGCTTGAACCCAAAGAGGAAGAAGGGGGCTTGGGCTGAAATGTTTGAGCCTTATGGCCCAAATGACTATGCTTAACATCTTTTGCTTCTTCTTTTCCTGTTTTCTTTCAAATGTGTGACATCTACTTTACTTTGTGTGGCAACAACGTAATTTCATTTGCGTGCAAATATGCCATTAAGTTACTTTTTGCTTGCCTAATTTGCAAATTTATCGTATACTTGAATGTACTTGTGAAAACATAAACTCAAAAAGTTTTATACTCCATATTATAGGCACTTACGTCAGCTTGCAAATAATGACTGGTCCTGTGAACAGTACACGTGTTAGGGTTTGAATGTGATTTATTCACTTGATTTAGTTTTCACTATTTTATCTTATCTAAATTACCTAAACTTATTAAAAATTATTTTATTTGTAATTTGAACTAGGCAACCTTATCAACCCTTATAATTGTTATAAGAATTTATTTTTTTCTCTAAACTTATCTTATATTTTTGAAATAAGTGAAAAATAGGAAATTTTTTAAAAAACCAACCCTAAATTCACCACTTTTCTAAAAACCACCCCTTTTTACAAAATTTAAAAATACCACTAACAAAATCCAATACCCGTAGGAATTACTACCCCTCCTCTATTCCGACTGCTTTCTGTCAAATCCGATCTGTTTTCTGATTAAAGGTCCACGTGTCACCACCTTATTTGTCAAAATTAACAAAATTAAAAAAATAAAATAAAGAATAATCCCCAACCATCCCACGTCAGCCACCCCCTCCTCTTTCTCCTGCCACCGCACCGGAACAGAAAACCCCACCCAACCAATCACTTACCGGACAACCCCCACCCCAACACAGCCACCTCCAAACCACACCAAGCCTCCCACAAGTATATACAGTACCTTTGTTTTCTTCTTCTTCTTCCCCTTTTCACTCCATTAAAGCGCACTCTAAGTTCTCCGTTGGAGCGGCTACTAAGCTTTTCTATCACTCCATTGAAGCAATTTTTCTGAGGTATGTAGGATGAGTCGCCGGCAGTGGTAAATTTCGGCTGGTGTTGCGAATTGTAGGGCACCCAAAAATCTAGGGTTTCGAGGAGAGAGAAAGGAGAAACATTTGGGACGAAATTGGAGGGGGCTTGGTGGCCAGGCGAGCAGTTCTGGGGCTTGGTGGGGTTCGTCGGAAGGGGTAGTGGTTGGAAGTGGCTAGTTGGGGAATGGGGTGGTCCGGCAGGTGGCGGCTATGGGTGGATCGGAGTGGCAGAAGGGGAACGGGATCGGGATGGCTGTCAGGGTTAAGGTTTTTTTTTTTTTTTTTTTTTTTTTTTGTAAAAAAATTGATTTTATTTTTGCGGTTGTTAAATATCGCACTCGAATTTTCAACTAACGTTCACAAAATAAAATATATTTTACAATATTTTACAAATTTACTCTTATATTAAAAAAAAAAAAAAATTTACCCCCCCAACCCTCACTCCCTCCTCTCTCTCTAAACCACCACCTCCTTTTACCACCCACCACCACCACCTCCTCTTTTTATTTAATCACCCACCACCACCTTCTTTTACCTCCAGTTTCTCGATCTACACAGTTAGCCGCGAAAATGACGAGGAAGGACAAGAGGAAAACGGTCACTGGAGACAGCTAATAGTAATAACAACTAATAACAATAATAATTTTAACAACGCACAACTAATAATAATAACAACTAATAATGATAATAATAATAATAATAATAATAATAATAATAATAATAATAATAATAATAATAATAATAATTCTAACAATACACAACTAATTATAATAGCAAACACAAGTAATTATAATAACAAACACAACTAATATAATCAAAATAATAATAATAACAAATACGTTAAATTCAAAACCAAAAAGAAAATAATAATTCGAAATTCTCAGGCAAACGCCCATAAATTTCGAAAAACCTAGGCAAAAACGCCTAGTTTTTTTGAAACTGCCAAGGATGTTCGAAAAAACTAGGCGTTTCTACCTAGGTTTTTCGAAATTTCTGGGTGTTTTCCTGGGTATTTCGAAAACAAAACAATTAAATAATTGTACCAATTTCGTACGGTTCGATGAGCCTCCGGCAACGTAGGTGGTGTTTTCGATCTTTCGTCTTCTTTCATGGGATCCAACGAATTAGGTTTTGCAAAATTTAAATTATATGTTTGATTTTGAAATTATATGTGGTGGTTGGTGGTTAAACGTGATCGTTGGTGCGTGGCCGATAAACACTAGAGAGAACAGTTAAAATGTTTGTGTAGGACAAAAGTGTTAAGTTAGGTAAAATAATTATTAATAATAAGCTACGTATGTCATTTTAGGTTATTTTACGGGCATTAGTTAGAGATTCGAGGGCGATATTTAGCTTTCCACAAATCGAATCAAGTCATCTTTAAGAGGCTGAGGAAAAAACTATCTCACTAATTAAAAAGTCAACAAACAAGTAATGTGTGTTGCATATATGGTCAACTTGTATATCAAGTACCCAAGTACGGATCATTAATTAATGGATTAGTTTGTCATTACCATCTTGATTAGCTAACCCCCAATTTGCCGGCCTGGCCTACTAATCAAACTTCAAACATGGAATGTAACTATTAGTGGACACCACTTTTTCATGTTTTTTTTGAGAAGTTTTAAAGGCTTTTAAATTTTTTTAACTAAATACCACCAGAATCATGATTTTTCCACTTAAAAGTGCGATGTTTTAACCATCTTTTTTTGTACTACCACCTATTATCTGACTTATTTTCTTGATTATTAAGATGAGTAAATCTTCAGAAATTTAACTTTTCTTTTTCATGGTGCAAAGTGCAGGTAACGAATTTATGAGCAATTAACATGAAATTATGATGAAAAACTTGGTAGAATCTACGAAGTGTATGACATTTTATACAACCTGTGATACTCCGTATTATATTACCAAATTAAGGATTTTGCTATACACATTAGTTGCGTTTAATGATAACAAATGATGATGATTTTGTCAAATTCCAGCTTTATTGAATATTATTTTGGGACCTAGTTAATCAAAGAAGGTATTTTTTGAAAAGGTATTAATTAATTGCTTTTTATTAATTTTTAGTAGATTGCCGATACGGTGATGACACGTGGATCCTTTAGTCGAAAAACAGGTCGGAAAAAGGAATGGGGTGGTGATTCTTATTGGTATTGGGTTTTGCAGGTGGTATTTTAAAATTTCATAATAAAATAAGTGGGTTTTTAAAAAAGTGGTGAATTTAGGGGTGGTTTTTTTAAAAAATTTCAAGAAGAATAGAACAGGCCATAGAGCCTTATATTTTTCCTCCGTCTAGAGTTTTCCATGGCCATAAAGCATTAAACCTATAGTCTATAACAGTACAAATTAATAACTAACCAATATGTTTTACTCCAATTCCAACATGATAGGGATGCGTCTCATTTTTGAAATTGCTACCCACCTATTGTAGGAGGGTCCAATACGTTTTACTCCATATATATACTTCGTATAACATATAGCTCGTATTAGAAGATCAAAGTATTTTCCATGCTTTTCCACCATGCATGTTGAATTTCTTGAGTCGTCCAAAAAACATAACTAGAATAAGAACACATTTTCCACCATTACTCCATCGCCCTGAAAATCCATACAATTTGTCCTCGCAATATTTATCAGTAGTTAACCGCCGTTTACAACTGTAGCCCGTTGAGAAACCCACATTTCCATAAGCACTGCGATGAATAAATATTTTGGCATGTTATATATTCATCTTATGATTGTTAATCTGTTATCTAATAATTTCTATGAAAGATTTCAACATTAATTAAAAAATTGAAATTAAAAAAAATTTATACAAAAGTGTTTTAATTATCTTCTCATTTGAACTTTTGAAGTGGGGCTGAAACTTGTAATTTAATCTCAATGTCACTAGGTGAGTTCCTCACCACCTCGGCCAAGTTTCCCCTGCGTGATTATATACAATAATCCCGTTATTCATATACTTGACATGTTTTGCTTAGGGATTTGGGGCCGGGTATGGGGCTAGTATATATATTATTGCAGGGAAATTCTATAAGGGACAATTTTAAGATTTAAATTAATTAATGAAAATTTTAAGAAAATGAAAAATTGAAACAATCTTATTAATTACCTTATGATTTCAAAGACAATGTTTAGAACACTGAAATTGAGAGGGTCTTCCTTCAAACTTTTCCTTTCAGTGATGCATACCAACATTATAAAGATGACCAAATACGATATTTGGGATAGTAGCATATTCTCTATTATCCTCTTCTTCTCATTCTGTTTTTTCGTAATTATATTACTTTCTGGTACTTCTTCTTGATGCTCATTGCTGACTGGAAGAAATGATGTGTATGCTGGAAGATACCTTTAAATTTCAAGCAACAGATTGGCCATGCACGAGTTACATAAACATAAAATTTATATCAATAAGAAATAAAAGAGTAATTATAAGAACAAATCTCTAATTATTTTTATTGATTTAACTCTTTATCGTGAAAGCAAACCAAATAGTAAAATTAATAGACAATAACTTAATTAGTACGTACTCAATCTCTCAATACAAACCTAGATTTTGTAGGTAAACCACGTTAAGTTTAAATTTTAATTGATCTTAGATCAATTGAATCCACGTGAAATTATGAGGCTAATATTCATTAATTTAATAAGTTAATAAACTTTTATTGATTCGAAGATGATTAGTTCATCATAATATAAGCAAACTCCAATCGTAATTAATTAATCAACATGACTCATCTGAATATAAATTAAATAAAATTGTAACAAGAAGAGAGAAAGAACTTGAAGGTTCAATGGGCACTCAAGAGGGGGGGTGAATTGAGTGTTAAGTAATCGTTGGCTAATTTTGCTTCTTTTCGGATTATGTGTGAGGAACCAGTTGTGCTGGTTCCCGTACGCAGCGGAATATAAATAAGCAATAAAGAAGACAACAAATTTAACGAAATAAAACAAAGCAATAAAGAACACAACAAATTTAACGAGGTTCAGCCAACTCAGGCCTACGTCCTCCTATCCTAAGTTCTTTATTAATCTACTCCGAAAAACAAAGACAAAGAACACTCTGCTGTTCCCTACTCCGGGAACCAGCAAACCCCACACTCTACTCCGAGTGTGCTCTCGACTTACACTCGTAAGCCCAATGTGTTTGAACTCACAAACACTCACCCAGCCTTTAACCCCTTTGTTAAAGACTCAATACAAGAATCAAGAACTCCCCTTTGATCTCACTTCTACGAAGCTAATTAAGAGAAAAAGTTTAAGTACTAGAATGCTCTTGTATATGACTTGATGAATGGGATTAGTGCTTAAGTATATGCTCTCAAATAATTGCTCTTTTTAATTTCTGGAGAGGCACACGAAATATGTGAAATAAGATGAGTTTATATAAGCTTAGATTCCTAAAACCTAGTTTCCTTAAATCACACAATCTTAGAGAATAAGATATATTGTAATTTTAGGAAAGTATTTATCTTATTTGATTTAATCACAAAGATAGAATCAATTAAGATAAATACTCCTAGTTTTTAGGTAACCAAGAATATTTCATCTTATTTCCAGCTGCACAAAATATTTTCAAAATAATCTTTTCGAAAAAATCTTTTTGTAAAATCTTTTTCCAAAACGGCAGCTCGAATATTTCGTACAGTGAACCTGGTTCCCCGACCTGGTTCCCTGAATTGAAACATGTTATGAAACCTGTTCCAACTTTGTACCAGATTTCATATCATACTTCAATATACTTTTAAGCACTTATATAACCCAAACATGCAAGCATACTACGGAGCATATTACATGAAAACCTAGATAACATATTAAAGCATAAATCGTCTTTTCTTCATGTAATCTTCAAGACTTGAATCTTCCTTGAATACTTCTATTATGAGCAAACAATCTTTCTTCGAAATATCTTCGAAAGGCTTCTATGCTCCAAGTCTTGGAATCAACTCTGCACAACATAAAGTAAGTGACTGCTGTACCACGTAGCAACCATGGAAACAGTACATACTGGTTCCCTACCAGTACATAACACTTTTATCATATAACTGTTCCCTGTATAAAGACAAGTTAGTTCAATAAGAAAACTCATGTAAGTAATAACTTGTCTGGGAAAACAGTGTTCTATGTTAGCTGGTTCCCCTAACTGTATCGAACACTTTCAAGGACCTGTTTCCCTTAGCTGTTTGTCATCATTCAAAACTATCAATCAAAACCTAAGGGACTCAACAAATTCCCCCTTTTTGATGATGACAAACTTTTGAAGTTCCTGAACCTGTGAACATGCTCAAAAGGAAAACCGTCAAAAACTTCAAGGACTCAAGACTCTTTGGAACAAGTCAGTTAGGCCAACTGGTTCCCTAAACAGAAAATAGAAAATACGAAATAAAAAGACTCAAACTGACTCAATCTAAACTAGCTAAACCTTAGGCTTCAACTTCAGACTACTTCCCCCTTTTGGCATCATTAAAAAGTATCCACAAGTAAAAGCAATGTGCACAAGTTAATGTGCTTATCCATACAATGGCATCAACCACCATTCAAGCATTATGCTGCAAAAAGAGATTAGCCAAACAGTTCATACCATAGCAGAGTTAGTAGTTCATACAAGCCAACAAAGTTCAACCAAAGAAGCCCAAATCCATCCAAAAAGAAAGTTCATGGAATGGAGAGAAGTAGACAGACCAACAAAATCAGTTATTTTAGAATAAACATGAGGGTGAGGAAACAAGAACAGAAACAGCATCACTCCTCATCATCATTCTCGTTCCCTTCCTCCTCCTCGAACTTTGCAACATCTTCTGTATTATCATCTGATTCCTCTTCATCCTTGTCACCATGCTCTGCTTAAACCAAAATCATTATATTACTAAGCATATTCTTGTGATTCCCCAATCTGTTTCAAAACCACTTCCTGACCTGCTGGTTCCTCTATTTTTTTATTATTTTTTTTTTTTATTTTTTTTTTTTTTTTTTTTATAAATCATGAGAGATATGTACTGATTCAGAATGTTCTCCTTGTTGCATAACGAGTGCAAAACTGTTCTCCTTGTTGCATAACGAGTGCAAAACTAGCATCACATCAATCAAGCAAAGAGGTTCTTGCTGGTACCCTTTTTCTCTTGGTTCCTGGAACAGCGTCAATGGACTGTTCCTCCTGCACCTTCTCAGTGAACTTCTTTAATTGAGTTACTCTACTTCGTACCATGGTCTTAGCAGTGGGTGTCTCCTCATAATAACCAACAACCTCTATTTCATCCTTTTCACTCTGACTTTTCTGAATTTCCTCCAACTTCGGGCTTAAGGACATTTATGCTTCCTTCTGATGTTCCCCCTGAGACTGAGCTGGTTCCTTGAGTGAACAGTAACCGAATGAACAATGATGAATTTAAAGCATACGAGAGAGAGAAAGAGAATTTCGAGTGATGATGATTGATGATCTGCACAAAGGGTTAGTGTATATTTTTAACAATGAAGCACAAAGAGAGAAGAAGAAAAGAAAAGAGTTAGTTGAGCCAATAAAAAGCAACTGTAAAGGATATTTTTAAAATGAAATCAAAAATTTGGTAATTATCTTTTACCATAATTATCTCAACCAACTATAAATAAGGCATATGATATGCTTGCCTTTTATATGGGATTAAATAACTGAAATAAGATAAATTCCTTCCAAAAGGAAATATCTTATAGTAATCTTCCGAAAATAAAAGATATTATCGGATGACATATCAGAGCTGGTCTGCTGTTTCCCTTTGCTGGTACCTGTATAGAACCATGTCACGCTGTTTCTGGCAATTCAGCCTGATTTCACCTGTTTCTTACAACAATGATTCTCAATCTTTTTGAGATTTTGAACCATCTACACAACACTTGAAAGATATCAACATAAATATGTACACACACTATACAAGAGAATACCATTCTAACCAATCATTGAAGGAAGTAATTGAAGCCAAAACCTAAAATCTAACTAGACCTAAAAGGACTCTTAACCTACAAAAAGACTCTCTACACAAAGGCTTTGTGAAGATATCAGCAATTTGATCTTCACTTTTACAAAACAACATCTCCACCAATCCTTTTTCCACATTGTCTCTTAAAAAATGGTGTCTTATTTCAATGTGTTTTGTCTTGGAGTGTTGCACAGGATTCTTTGAAATATTGATTGCACTAGTATTATCACAAAAAATAGGAACACTTTTATAAATAACACCAAAATCTTTCAGCTGGTTCCTTATCCACAGTAGCTGGGAACAGCATGAAGCTGCAGCTATATATTCAGACTCTGCTATGGATAGGGCCACTGAATTTTGCTTTTTAGAACCCCATGAAATTAGACAAGAGCCAAGAAAGTGTGCCATACCTGATGTGCTCTTTCTATCAACTAAGAAACCAGCATAATCTGCATCTGTGTATCCAATAAGATCAATGGTACTGCCTTTGGGGTACCACAATCCCAGATTTGTTGTTCCTACAAGATACCTAAGTATCCTTCTAACAGCCTTCAAGTGAGATTCCTTTGGATTGCTTTGAAACCTAGCACACAAACCAACAGAAAACACAATGTCAGGTCTACTAGCTGTTAGGTAAAGTAGAGAACCTATCATTCCTCTATAAAGAGAAGCTTCAACATCTTTTCCCTTAAGATCAGCATCTAATTTTGTAGATGGGGGAACAGGTGTATCATAAGCTTTGCTGTTCTCCATGCCGAATTTTTTCAGCAACTCTTTTAAGTACTTTTGTTGATGGATCATTATTCCATCATCCATTTGCTTAATCTGCAACCCTAGGAAGAATCCTAGTTCTCCCATCATGCTCATTTCAAATTCACTCTGCATAAGATTAGCAAATTCATCACATAAAACCTGATTAGTAGCACCAAATAAAATATCGTCAACATAAATTTGTACTACAATCAAGTGTTTCCCCCTGGTTCTTATGAACAAGGTCTTGTCTACTGTTCCCCTCTTGTAATCATTTGCCATCAAGAAATTGGATAATCTTTCATACCAAGCCCTCGGAGCTTGTTTCAATCCATATAATGCTTTGTCCAACTTGTACACATGTTGGGGGAACAGTGCATCTTCAAAACCAGGTGGCTGCTCCACATATACTTCTTCCTTTAAATATCCATTGAGGAAGGCAGTCTTTACATCCATCTGAAACAGCTTAAAATTCATGTGAGCAGCATAAGCAATTAAAATCCTAATAGCCTCTAGCCTAGCTACTGGTGCAAACGTCTCATCATAGTCAATTCCTTCTTGTTGATTGTACCCTTGCACCACTAGCCTTGCTTTGTTTCTGACTATAGTACCAAGGTCATCTAACTTGTTTCTAAAGACCCATCTAGTG